CTGATGAGTCGGTGAAACTCCGACGAAACAGTTTGTCACAGCCCCTCGTTTGTTGTCCTCTTCTCCCTCTCTGCCTACGGTTTACCGGGCAGTTCTATTTGACGATATATATCGTCACAAACAGAACTGCCTGGTAAACCGTAGGCAGTTATATATATGTATATACACATGGTGACTAACCAAGTGTAACCAGTCATTGGCCACGGTTAAGCAGTGGGCCACGGTTCAGCAGTGGACCACGGTTCAGCAGTGGATAAATGGCGAAAGACTGTGACTTTTCAATCGGCATTGAACCACCAGTACGTTTCCCAGCTAAATTTCTCTGACGCGTCACGCCACGTGCCGCACCTTTCGGGCTGTTGTACTGGCCTGCCAAGCGGCGTGTTATTCATCCAGGCAAAAGGGGGCTGTGCATCCTACAGTTTTGCCTGGATGTGTTTTCCGCCCCACTGCTGGACGGGACAGCCCAGAGGACACGTCGCATTTTTGCCCACGTCTCATAAATCTGCCCACGAAAAGCTCTGGTGGTACCGTGTTTAATGTACTGTTTAATAAAAAGTCCGCTGTTTCAACCCAGTAATGGATGCGGGGCCCACCCATGGTCTACTCTTGAGGCGGTAAATTATTACCGTAAATATGATTTAATGTTTGGTTAGCCATGCAATTAGCTTATTAGTTGGCAACTTAACAGTCATTTTGCGTGTTTAACAGTCATTGCAGACATCACTGCCATGATGATGCAACGATCAAAACCAATAATTTGCGATGATGAGGCGGTCTTGCTGTCTTTTTTGTTTCCTCCCTGTAGGTGTTTTGACCATCAGCTGCACCTTACCTCTTTCTGCATGCATATCTTGTGCATCCTCGATTAGAGTATTTATGTGCTTTCTTTGGGAAAACCAAACTGGGACGCATGGTCACTGACTCACACTTTCCGTTGCTGTTGCTTCGTTTGAGAGCTTTTCTCTTGGGTCGCTATTGCTATGTGGCATCATCTGCATATTTCTTGTCCCTGATCTGTCCTATGGATAGATGTCGTCTCATTTCTGGCAGGTGGTCCCGTGCATGAGGGGGACCTTTCCTTCCTTCAGTTTTGCGCACGTCCCCCACCCCCACCACCGCCCTTCCCTCCCCTCCCTCGCGTCCTCCGCCTGAGGACTGTGCAGATATGCTTTCGTACAGGTAAATGTGCTGTGTTGGTTGGCCAGATCCTGTGCAACTACAACAAAATGTATGGGGAGTCTTGCTGGTGACTGATGAAGACAGGGTGTTTTTCTTTCTTTTTTTTTTTTTGTTTGCGAGTGTGTGTGTTGTCCTTTTCTCGTTGTTCTTTCTTTCCGATGGAGTCCTCTTTGTTTCCCCTTTCTTTAGCTCTACATGCACACTTTCTCCATTTTGTAGTCAGCATTTCTATGTGCGAGAGGCACTTTTGAAAGTGTGTTCTTGTAGTACTGCTGTGCGTGCATGCAGGGATATCTTGCGATATACGTGCAATTATCAACTGTACATGCCTGTGTGTGTGTGTGCATTGTCTGTGCATCTGTTGTGTGTGAATGTGGGTGGATAGCGGGAGGCAGGCCGGCAACGCCATTTCCGGCTAGATCACTCAGAGAGATGTGATTGCTTTTCAAAGGCAATCAATCAACTGGGAGAGCAGCTCCATCGAGGTATGTCTTATCATGGCATGCCTTCTCAGAAAGGCAATCAATCTTTTTTTCTACCTGAATGTCTAACTTGCCGTGTGTTGTCACATCCCATAGGGCATGTCCCATAGGGCAATGCACAAGTAACCTGAATCCATTCTCACCCACATCCCCATTAACAACTGACAGCCAGATGAACTTGGGTTACCTGGTCAAGATCCAACTCGCTAGATTAATGAATGACTTTTTTTTTTTTTTTTTTTTAAAATAGGGGAAATGACTTCACCTTTTCTGAAATGAATTTGAACAACGTGCATGGCCGGGCGTGATGAATGAATGACTTGATTCGAGCTCTACGGATTCGTTCTGAAGGGGAAATTCTACCGGCAATTACAAAAAGAAGGGAGTGAGGGAGGGGTGCAACAATTTCTTCCAACCTATGCCTTACTACCAGACGCACACACACACGCAAAAAAAAACATGGCTTAACTTGAGTAGCCTGAACTTGCTTCCGAACTCAGTTTGCGCAGGCAGGAAAAGAAAGACATGAAAACCATACTTGCGGTGCACGTCGTGCGCGGCACTTGCGCACGTGCGGTGCAGGCCGCAGCGCGCAAGTGGCGTCCGCACGACGCGCGGCGCATGGTCGAAATTGCAGGGTACCAAAAAAAAATTTTTTTGTCGGTTCGGTTTTCGGGGTTCGGGGGGGGTCCTAGGAAAATTATGAAAACGGGCGCGAAAATTTTTTTGGAGGCCGCGCGAAGGCCCGTACTTCTTTTTTTTTTTTGAACAGTCTGAAGACTCTGAACCTGATTCGAAGTCTGGGGGGGGGAAGTCGGTTCTTTAATTTTGTTGTTGGACTGTCCCCCCAGCCCGCCGTTTTTCCTGGAATTTTTTTTTTAATAAAAAGAAAAAAATGTAAGGGAAGAAAAGCAGAATTTCTTTGCATGAGTGTCGCCCGGCGCCTCCAACCTGTCAGAACCTCAACGGTAAGTGCAGTCTGTATGGTAGGGTTCTTGCAGGCCAGATTCAGTCATGATGAGGGTTGCGATCTTTTCAAAACGATCTCTTCTTATTACTTCTGAAGTAGAAAACGACGGAACTGACAGCCGTTTTTCCTGGAATTTGTTTTTTTTAATAAAAAGAAAAAAACGTAAAGGAAGAACATCAGAAATTCTTTGCACGAAATCCGCTGGTGACTATCTGAGGATGAACCCCCATCGCTCCAAGGGGACGAGGCGGCGATGACGTGGCAAACGCCGGACACACCCACCCGCTATCTGGGCATATTATTGACGAAGGAAGGACTGGCTCCCCAAATGGGCCCCTCTATGCTAACCAAACAGATCAATAAAATTGGAAGATGGGGCAACACCTTCACATCCCTCATCGGTCGAGCACTAGTCCTCGATACATCGATCTTTTCAATGATGTGGTACATGGCTTCCATTTGGACAATCCCTGACAGTTCGCTTAAGGAATTGAATCGAAGAGCTAGGCTGTATCTATGGACAGGAGACCCTAACAAGGAAAAAGGATTATCCAAAATTGCCTGGCACTACGTTACAGGAAGGCCACGTAATGGAGGCCTAGGAATTATCGACCCCGGAACAGAAACAAAAGCCCTACAAATCAAATGGGTCATCAAACTACTGATGAATCCAAACAGCGCATGGAACAAGCTGGCACTGGACAGTATCAGATCCGTGGCCCCAATTCCCTCCCCAAACGATATGTCAGGCTTGTTCTGGGTAATGAATAAAGAATGGGTGATAAACACAGGACGTAGGAACCGAACGAGGAATAACAGGCTCAATGACCCCCGTCCGCCTACACCTTACTGGCCGGCATTACTCCGATCCTGGAGGAAAATAATTCCCAACAAGACAAACAGACCCAAATCCAAGGATGAAGTACTAAGGCAACCGCTCTTCGGGAATGAATGGATAAAAAACGAGGCGGACAACCCTCTCTTCCTAAAACAGAAATGGCTGTCCTGGATCAGAAACGGTATCTGGAAAATCGATCACTTATGGGTGGAAGATAGAAAGGGCTGGGTAACAGAACAAGAAGTCAACCCCTGATTGAAAGGCTGTCATAGATGAGGGACCAACCTCCAATACATTCTTAACTGCATTCCACAGGACTGGAAAGACATCCTGACAAAAGACGAGTCGTGGAGACCGGGTGAGTGGGGTCTGTTGATTCCAGAAACAACACCCCCGAGAGCCTTTCAATTTTCCCATTGGCAGCAAGGCTCACACACTAAGGCCACTTTCCTCTCTTTCCCGATCTCCTCCTGCAATACGGGTTTGCCGAATATCCTAAATTGCGAGGTAGAGTCGCTGGTCTTAGAGTCCTTCTTACTTCGGAAAGTAAGGGTCCTAGGATCATGGCCGAAATCACTCTACAGGCCTGACACTTCAATCCGTAACTTGGAGTTCGATCCAGCTGAATGGGCGTGGCCGCCAAATAAGACCTGCACCATAAAGACCAGAATCCCAATTCAGGACTACACAGTCAAACTTGGATACAGACTGTCTCTAAAGACCAAAAATCCAGACCCTATTATCAAAAACAGATGGTGGAACCTCGTCGGGCAGGAAGCAGACAAAATCACACGGATCTACTGGGATAAGTTCAAACGTATCAGACCAATCAAGATTAGAAGCCTGCAGTGGCTGATTGTGTACGCAGCCCTTCCGGTGAACCAATGGCTACATATCAGGAGGAAATCTACAGACCCCAACAGCTTGGAATTATGTACAATATGCACTGAAGGTGTCGTAGAGGACATGGTACACTGTAAAGAGGCTACGGAATACTGGGTCAAAGCCTCAACACTCTGGGACTCCCTCTTCTCCTCTCCCTTCCCCAAGCAGCCCATCCAACTCCTCCTCTTGACTAACATCCCTGTTCAGGCGCAAAAGGCAGAAAGGATCTGGTTTGAACTCATCAGGAAAGTGACTCTATGGGTCATTTGGAAGGAGAGATGCAGCAGGACAATTGAGGGGAGATCCAACCCACGGGAGAAGGTGTGGACAGAAACCAGATCGCTGATACAAGCCGAGATCCTCTGCAGATGGCGGAAGATAAAACGAGCTTGGACAGACGACGAAGAGCAACGTAACAAGGAGAGGCAGAAATTCCACAGGAATTGGTTGATAAACGGCAAGATTGCATAATTGCGAGAGGACCGAATTTGCTGGAGGGAGTGGCATAACTCTGTCTCAGTAAGAGGCGTTAGCCAGCTGGCAACCTCCCAGGGCATACTAGCATCCTAGACGTCGACAGAAGGAAAGGGACACATCAAGGGCCCAGGGGACACGAACTGTGAGGAGTCAAGGGAGAGTTCAGGACCATTCTGCCCAGGGTTGAATCTGGGAGCATAAACAGAAGAAGGGTTTTGGGCTCAAGGGTTTTTAGAAATCCTCCAAAAGGGACAGAGAGGTGTGTCGAGAAGTTACAGCCCGGCAAGGCCTCCGAAGGGGTTCTGTTTAGGGATAAGG